CGATGTACAATACATCGCTAGGTTGGTCCGTATCATTATTGACCCTTTACTAAACTTCGTGCTCATTGACCTTTCTGCATGTTGGTCTAGTGTGGATTGAAGGGCCTGTATGACATCATCTACAGGAATGTTAGTGTACATAGACCCAACATCAAAACCTACCAGCAAATCACCACTTTCCATGTCATATAATCTAAAAGATTGTTGTTACCCAGGCATTACTACAGTTTCTACATGGCATATCTATTAGCATCCAAGCCAACCTAAGCTCACACACTCTGAGTTTTATTCTTTTCTGTTGCTCGTTCTAATCCCTTGTGTATGGTGGGGAAACCAAAGTATGTTGGATATTCGTTTTGAAGGTAGTCACAACCACTTCATTTGTCGAATAACCCCTTTATAACCACGCTGCCTCCCTCCGTATTGTGCACATACACGTCTACCCGGATAGACACGCAAAAATCTCCTAAATTTACATACTCATTACATCATTCATTCAAATACTCTCACTAACCCATTGGCATTCATATATACATATATATATATATATGTGTGTATGTGTGTATGTGTGCGAATGCATGTGATATGTGAGAGACTCGTCTTGAATTGTAACTCACACCTGCCCTGTGACCTTGTGATGGAGTGGTAATGTGTCACCACTTTGTTCGTATGATTATGTTTTGAATTCTGTTGGGGGTACTGATGAGACGAGTTGAGCTCAAATGGCAGTTCATGTTGGATGAAAAGACATTTTGGTGGGCAAGCCAAGTGAAATTCAAGGGAGTCGGGACGAAACACTCCACTATCAATACTTACATCATCTTAGGATATCTGACATATGAAGACCAAGATAATGTGCCCCTTTTTTTAATCAGCGGTTTCATGAGAACTCTCTGCACTCCACGCTGGCCTTCTCACCGCCCTTCATCCTTGTGCTGGGAATGTTAATCGGAGTCTGCCATATTGTTACGCATCCTCCTTCCTTAGTTCTTACCACAGTCTCTCTCTTGCCCCGTAAGATCCGTCTGCCCTCTCTCTGGTTCACATATTTCACTCGAACCCCTGCCTCCATCTGTGCCAACTTGAGGCGTTATTGGCCCTACCCTGCGTCTTGGTGACTACTTCGAGGCTTAAGCCTCTGAGTAAGTGTCATGGTCAGGCTTTTGCCACATGGACCACGTCTTTTAGAAAAAACTACTGTCAGCCCACTAGCTCCCATCGCCGCCGTGTCTATCCTGTTTCTATCTCTAATACCAAGTCTATGACTTGTCATACTCTAGTTTCTTGTGTGCCAATCCACAAATGTTGTGGTTATGCTTGCTTTTCACTCGGTTCAATGTTGAACCACAACGTTTGTGGGTTGGCACATAAGAGGCTAGTGTATGAGAAGTCATAGACTTGGTATTAGAGATAGAAAACAGGATAGACGCGGCGGCGATGGGAGCTAGTGGAC